TGACTTCAAAGCCCAGGTTTTGCGTATCACATGTCCCTGAGACATGGGCTTTGTATTCTGACAAAATCATGGTCTGAATTCCCAAACTGAGGGTCAGATCCCAAACCATGGTGAACTCCATGAAGTAAGAAATGTCATTCAATAAGGCCTCGGTAGTAATGGACTACAAACCTATCCAGGCAATACCGCTCTAATATGTGCTCAGTAAAGACTGAGCCTTTTTTCCAGTATAATTTTTACATACCCAAATCTAACCATATTGGTTAAGGATAATAACAATTACTTATTTTGTTTCTATTCGTATATGTGGCAGTCTTTGCCATCTATACTGAAGGATGTGGTTTTATTTTGACTGAACATGTAAAAAAAAAATGGGTCACCATCTGTGGATGCCACAACAAAGTCATAAGAATTAATCACTACATAATGGTTAAATCAAAATCATTACATGCTGTGTCAGTTTTGGCTTGTTTTATAATTTGTGAAATAAAAATAACAGTCAAATGATGGAAAACTAAGCTAGCCAGAATGTGATCATCTTGGCAATATGAATGATTATTTTGTTCTTATGTCCTGATTGTGGCAAATTTTATATAAATTTTGCTATAGCTTTAAATAAAGGGACTTTGAAATCTATCAGCTCAGAAAATATTTACTGCCAACTTGTATTAAATGTAGTTAGATTACTTTATGTAACATACTGACTTCAGAACTTCTAGCCCTCAAGGAGTAATCTGTTTGTTGTTAGACGGGAAAATCAGGTATTCATCACTCACCATATCCCTATTTTTTTTTACTTTCTACATGAAAATGATGGTAGTAACTCAGCAAATGTAGGACACATTTAAACTTTAATTTTCTAGTTTGGTGAAAGATGGTTGCCAATCCACTCACACTTTCCTGTGTGGCCTCCATTGTAGTAGCTCAATCCAGTTTAACAAAAATTTATGGCATATCTATTTTTTTTAAGGTTTATCCCTTGAGTCTTTTAAATATATATATATATATATATATATATATATATATATATATATATATATATATATTATTGATTTGTTACAGAGAGGAAGGGAGAGGGATAGAGAGTTAGAAACATCGATGAGAGAGAAACATTGATCAGCTGCCCCCTACACAATCCCCAACTAGGGATGTGCCCACAATCAAGGTACATGCCCTTAACTGGAATTGAACCTGGGACCCTTCAGTCTGCAAACTGATGCTTCATCTACTGAGCCAAACATATCTATTTTGTGCCAGAAATTGACATAGAAATTTGTTCATAAAATAAACAAGCTAGATTCCTGTCCTTGAGGGAATAAATATTCTATAATATCATCAGAGACACACATTAAGCAAATCATGTAATAAATGAATACATTATATAATATTATAAAATAAGAAAAGTATTGCAAAGCAAGAGTATCAGGAGAGCCAGGCATGGGGAGAAGGAAGTGCAGATTTCAGCATTATGTGGAGAATCTGGATAAGCCTCAGAGGAAGGTGAGATTTCAACAAGTACTGACAACAATTAGGTCATTAACCAAGTAGATTTCTTGAGGGAGAATATTTCAGACAGGGTAGAGTGAGAGCAAATACTCTGAGATGGAAGCATGCTTTAATTAAGAGTTCAATGACATCAAAGGCTGTGTGGAAAGTGTGGCTGCAGCCGAGTGCATCAGAGGTTGTGAGAGACCATTATAAGGACTCCCACCTTTACTATCTGAAAGGTAGTGATCATCAACAATAGGGTTAGGTCAAGATATGATATTAATTGCAAATTTGACCTCACATTTCCGAGAATGTCTGTACAAGGGATTGCTGAATTGGAAAAAGTCCCCTTAAATTTCTGAACTTATCCTCAACCAACTTTCTAATATCCTTTTCTTAATTATCCTTTTATTTTCATCTTTAATCTACAAAAATAATGTAATATATATCTCATTCAAATATTGTTATACTAGGGAAGGGTTGGGGTAAGGGAGAAGAGATCAATCAAAGGACTTGTATGTATGCATATAATCCTAACCAATGGACACAGACAACAGGGGGGTGAGGGCATGAGTGGGGGGCAGGGAAGAGAGGGATAATGGGGGAATAAGGACACATATATAACACCTTAATCAATAAAGAAATTTAAAAAAAGACCACAGTAATGTCAGCAAATATTGTTATACTATTTCCCCATCAAACCAGCCACACTGATAGTCTTTAAAAATAAGAACCAAACTACTTTCATACTGGTATGTGCATATCTTCTTCATCTTTGTTTATAAATGCATATAAATTAAGGAGGGCAAGAAAAAGAATTTGAACAAAGGACCTTATTTTAACCCATAAGACATTGTTACTGATGTTTTTGCTTTTGTTTTTAGATTAATTTCTAGATATAACAAAATAAATTTATATTGAGTTTCCCTTTTTAATATTATTCATGAGCAGATATATTCATTCTTGCTTTCTAACTCATTATATATGGTACATATAGATGGAAAACAATAAACAAGTTTTTAAGGAACTGGTCTTCACCTTGCTAAATGAAAGTCAAGAGACTAGACAAAGAACACACAGAGACAAGAAGCATGGTATGCAGGTCACTGTCAAAGGTAATTATTATCTTTAATAAATATAATTTAGCTTTAAAACTCATAAAATGTTAAGGAATTCCTCTTATCTCATTGTTTTTTGATTCAAAGAGAAAATGATAGGTAATAATGAATGCAAGAGTAATTTACTAAAATACTTTTCTTCTTTAGAGAAAAGATCGATCCTAACACATAAATGTATCTATATATTTAAAACTCAAATATTTAGTTTACTAGAAGCAGAGACACTTTATTTGGAAAGTTGTGTGTTTTTCATTAGAGAACCATCTTTGCTTCAGATGTATGTCACTGTGGTTTTATTAAGGTTGCATTCAATGTTTAAGTAATGCTTTCAATATAGTTACTTTATACCCACTATGCACTATAGTATAATGTATTATGGTCAGATAAAAAGTAATATCTTTGTTATAAAATTATTTTGCTGAGACAATTTACATTCTAATAAGAAAAATAAGGCACAAGAAATAATGAATTTCAATAAAACTCATACAAAAAGAATAAAATCAGTATAAAAGCACATTAAAGGAATTTTGAATCAATGCAATCAGAATTAGTAGTGAATAGAATAAAAGATTAGGAAAGAAAAGCAACTAAAAGAAAAGAATTGTAAACCATGTTCATTTACACCAGGGGTGGAGAACCATTTTTCTGCCAAGGGCCTTTTGGATATTTGTAACATCTTTCACAGGCTATACCAAATTATCTACTTAAAAATTAGCTTGCTATATTTGGTTAAACACTTAACTAACTCACACCTAATGCCTTGGCAGTGCCAGACCAAATGTTTTCTCAGGCCTTAAATAGCCCATAGGTCTGACATTCCCCATCCCTGATTTATACAAATAGGCAATAAAAACAAACACAAAGAGAATTTCATTCTCCTATTATATAGTCTCATGGTATTGGCTATATAACTTCTTGATTAATGTTGCTACCTCAAAAGTTATAATTCCAAAAGCTTATGTAAGTTTTAGGATAAGAAATTTAAAATTAAATAGAAAAAATTACTAACATTTAACTGTATTAAGCAATCTTGAACTTAAACTGTGGAATTTCACAACTACTTCTATTAAATAAGTACAGTTTAATTAAGTTGATAATAACAATAAATCAGGCATGGGTTTTTAAAAAATAGTCCATACTAATTGGCAGCTATGCTCTGCATTAAACCTTTGGGTAATGAAAGATCCCATTTATTCTCAATATTGTGCAAGCTGGTAGAAGTACTTTTTGCTATTGGGTTCAACTTCTTAAAATTAAACCTTATAATAAAAAGAAACCAGAAGGATGTCTCCATTTAGAGTTGATTCTAGTGATGAGTTTATTTCCATGAAAAACCAAGGCAACATACATGTTTTTAAATAGTACATGGTTTCTGTGGCTATACAGTAACAAATGGATGACTGTTAGTGAGATAAAGTTCTCCTAAAATATACTACTAAATTATGGCAGAAGTTTCTTCTTTGAAAGAAAAAAACTGGAAAATTTTACAGTAGCACTGGGCCCACAGTTAAATACTACCTAGACCAGGTGTCAGCAACCTGCGGCTCTTTTGAAGCTTTACTGCGGCTCCGACAACTTGCAAGCCTGTGTGAAAATAAGGTAACGTCTTACAGCCCTGATGTGCTGACACTGTGCACTGAGGTTCAGGAGCAAAAATCCCATTAGCCAGATAAATTAAATACTTTAATTAGCTATCAATTTGCAAAAATATATTTTACATTGTTAAGTGAAAAAGTCCTTTTTTTCTTCAGATTGACAGCTAACTGCACGATCCGGTATATAGCATTAAGGTAAGAAACAATATATGCAGTGTTATATTTGTTTTAAATGTCGCAATGGTTTTGCGGCTCCCAGGTTTTTTTTTCCTTCGGAAATGGGTCCAAGAGGCTCTTTATGTTTTAAAGGTTGCAGACCCCTGACCTAGACTAAGTAAAATAGAGTACTGCACTTTAATTGAATATTTTATTTTTAATCAGAGACTCATAGATTGTGATTGGATATCCTGGTCCTTGCTCCATTCTGGACCTTGTGCATTGCGCTAACCCATGCTCACTTCTTCCTCTGCTTTTCCCACCACAAATGGGTCAGATTCATCCAAAAAGATACTCAAAGATCAGATTTATAGTACAGCCAGAAGTATAGTACAGACTGCTAATAATCATAAAAGAAAACTTTCTTTACAAATAGCAACAAAGACAACCTTTTAGGGGATAAACACATGAAGATATCATTTGGCCACTAATTGCTATGAGTATATATGCATATGTATTTTATTCAAATTGCTTCTAATTATTAGACATATAGCACAAAACTTGGACATTTTTATACTTTATTAGGTTACCTTAAATTTTTCAAATTCAACTCAAATATAGGTAAAATAAATAACATACATACTTGGAAGAAACTGCCACCATGAATTCATCCAAAAAGGCATCATATTCAGGACCTCTCACTCTTCTCTGCCGGAGTCCAATGTACAGCGGATCTTTAAGTAACTCCTATTTTTAAAAAAAATTGCCAGAGATATAAAAATAACTAAAGGCAATTCATATACATGTTCTAAGCCTCAGTTTCCTTACTTATATAATAAGAATAGAAATGGAAATAAAATATTGTAAAACTGATTAATAAGCAACCTACAGAGTCAATATTTAGTGTTAAATAGATTATAGTATTTATAGGTCAAATAAGAAAAATAATTACTAAACATTAAAAAAAGTTGTACCTTATTCTGGGGGCAATAAAAGGAATGAAAATATCAGTGGTGCTAACTTGAAAAGCTCAGTTCAGATTTTACAGGCAGAGTTTTATCACATAGAAAAATAATATTGAGTTTTGAGTATTAAATGAACTTAGAAAAAGGGAAGTTTACAATTCCTTTCCTTTTTATTTTTTCTGAAAGCAAAATCTTTAACAAACATTTTGGTTATACCTTTAATATTACAGTTGACTAATATTAAAAATAATCTTTAGCTTTGACTAAAGTTTTTCTTAAACTTTACACAGGTTTTTTTTTAAACCTGACGTATGTGAGCCAATGTTACTCTGTTCAAGTTTTAGTGTATGTAATATTTTTGTCTTTATTAAATCAGTTTTCAATTGAGGTATAATTTACATATGGTAATATCCATTTACAACAAGTTACCAATAAACTCGGAACAGTAAGAAACTTCCTCAACCTAACAAAAGTCATTTATAAAAAATCTAAGTTAACAACATGTTTAACAGAAAAAGATTTAGTGCTATTTCCCTAAAATTGGAAACTAGCCCCGGCTGATTTGGTTCAGTGGATAGAGTATTGGCTGCCGACTGAAAGGCTCCAGTCAGGGCACATGCCTGGGTTGCAGGCTCAATCCCCGGAGAGGGCATGCAGGAGGCAGCCGATCAATGATTCTCATCACTGATGTTTCTCTCTCTCTCTCTCCCTCTCCCTTACCCCCTGAAATCAATAAAAATATATTTAGAAATAATTAAATAAAATTGGAAACTTGACAAAGATAATTACTCCCATTACTTCTATTCAACACTATATTGAAGATCCTAGCCATTACAATAAGGCAAGCAAAAGAAAAAAAACAAAACAGCAATACAGATTGTAAAGGAAGAAGTAAATTGTACTTGTATACACATGATCATGTACATGGAAAATACTAAGGAATCTACAAAAAAAATATCCACTAGAAAAAATATGTGAATTTAACATGCTCACAGAATATAACGTTAATATACACAAATCAAATGTGTCTCTATACACTACCAATAAACAACTGAAAATGAAATAAAATACACAACTCATTTATAATAGAATCCCAAAGCATGAAATCCAAAGGGGCATATTTAACAAAATATGTGTAAGCCCTGTAAACTGGTTTCATAAAGGTAAGATAAGGTTAATAGAGGATGAGCTAAAGAAGAAAATGTTCAGACGTGAGCAAAATTAAAGAAAACACAGAGGATACAAGACTTGTTGTAAAAGATTTCAAAAGTGAAATAAGGCCTGTAGTCAAAGATCATATGAAATGCGTGGTTGTATCAACTTTTTAAAAATACATCTGAATGATATGAACTGGAGTCCAATAGACCATCTTGTCTAGATAAAAGGAACTAGTTCCAGAGCTCTCTGATACGCTACCAATGTAGTGGGAAGGTCTGTTTTGAAAAGACTTGTGAGTGGGGCCTTTATGAAATAGAGTAGACTATAATCTGATACATAGAAATTTTTTTTTTAATCCTAAGGGTTCTGGATTAATTGGAACACTTCAAAACAGAACTACTTTGCTTGGTTCCCAACTTTCCACAAGAAGAAATAGGCTGAGAAAGCTATTTAACTGTGATACAGTGGACAGTGCTAGAGGCCAGAGAGTACAGCCAGAAGCATAAGAGAACTAGGCCCTTTTCAAAACCATTGACTACCCCCCAGGTAGGTGGCCTGATAACCTATGTCCAATGGGAATTCAAGATTTCTATGAACCATTTAGAGCCATGTAATTCCTATTGCTCCCATTTTGAATGGGAAGTGTTTATTCTGACCCTGCTCCACCATAGTTTGTTTTAAATGTGGGAACAGATAAGAAGACCCACAACAAGGCCCAAAAACACAAGAAGCTTCATTTGTACCTTGACCTGATTTAGATCAGAGGACAGGATCCTGAAGTCTGGGCCTTCTGTTGTTATTGGGATGAAACTTTTGGAAACATCAGATGAAGATTAGCATATTTTTACACGTGGAATATGAACAATTTGTGAAGGAGAATCTACATGGAGAAGGACAAGCTGTCCCATGCCTCTCAGCATTCCTACCCATCCCAGCAAATCATGAACATTATTAACATTGTAATCGTTTTAAGTCACTAAGTTTAGAGGAGGTCTGTTTTATATAAATGTTAAGTTCTAGCAGGTGTGGCGATGCTGATCTGTAGGTTGAGCCATTTAAATAATCTGAGTAGGGCTTTGCTTCAAGCCAACAGAAGTGATAGCCTGGTTCACACCTGCTGTCCTAGCAAAATTATTAATAGCGCCCTCTCTCATTGTGAAAGTGTCTAGGTTTGGCTAATACAGAATGTGGTCATCCTACATATAACGCACTGCACAACAACGAGTTAAGGCTTTCTGGCTAGCTGGAAGTTAACATACTTAATCATATAAATGTATTTCAGATGAAATGTAAAATCTGAAATTGAGTGCTGTTGCAAAGCCCAGCTGTTCCTTGAGGCCTGCAAACGTTAAACAGTCTGCTGGCAGGCTTCTGGACGGCTGCGGCTGGCTTGCCAGGGAGCTTCTAGCGCCTGCCAGAAGTACAACCCTTTCTCCAGGTCTGGGATGTATTTGGACTTCTAAAATGTGAATTAGCAGAACACAACTGAAAAAAGATGTCACATGTTTCCCTGCTCTTTTCGCTCATTCTTTCCAATGCTAATAATTAAAGTATATATAACTACAACGGGGAGTCAAATTTGAAGATTTATGAACAAGATAAAGCTTTTACATTAAATCAGGAAGTTGTAAAATTCTCCCGAATATAATATTTCTGTCCATATCTACTATTTTTCTTTTAAATTTTTCATGATAATTAAAGCTTGAATAACGAGTGCTTTCTTGGACATTTGACTGAAAAAAAGTTTACAAAAAGCAAAATTACCCAATTTTGATAATGGCTTCACAGACCAAGTCTCCTGGCACAGAAGTGATATTAACTTATCACATTAACAGTTTCTTGTGGCCAAGATTAAACACACACTAGAACCTTTTTTGGAGAATAAATGAAAGACTTGGTATGAAGTAAGCACTTAAAAAGGTTAGCCATTCTTTAGCAAGAGATGTCACATATGAAGACTTATAGCATGAGAGAAAGAAAAATATTAGAAGTAAAAGACAAAGCATATGGAAATAAGGAGGGTATATATTGGTAAAGTTAATGATCTTCTTAGCACTATCTCAATTATGGAATCTTGAGAAGTTTTATTTGAAGCATTCATTTATTTGAAGCTAATAGTAATTAACATCAACACACAACCCATTCTAGTTCCTCACAGTTATACCTTTCAAATCTTAAGTTTTTGAAAATTAATAACTATTTTCTTAATATTTTAAGTTTTTATCATTAGTAAAACAATATTTCCTATCAGAAAATTTGAGAGCACTGAATAAACTCTACCCATTTAGAACTATCCTCCACTATCACCTTGATGAATAGTCTTCTAGGTCATTTTCTTTATATCCATGCTTGTATAATATTATCTATTCAAATTTTGAACCATATCAAAAACCCTTTTCACATAGGAATATATTGTGAAAATTTTTCATGTCAATAGAGGAACAGTGTTAAAATTTGTGATCTATATTAGAACTCTGCCCTCAAAGAGGATGAACAACTTAATAGTCCTCCCAGTGACATGTAATAAATATACCTGTTTTGTTGTAGCTTCAAGTAAAAGTATTATCTTTCCATATATACATGTATGTGTATATATGAAATATAAATATATATAATACATATAATGTGTAACAAAATATAGAAACATATTATTTATCTGTAATGTTAATGAGTAACATTCATTTGTACTTCTTTTCTAATATTAAATGTTTTCATAAATTTATTGAGCATTTTTACTTCTTCATTTGTAAATTAACTGTGTCCACATGTCATTTATCAATTTGCATATTTCAAATTTGACATTTTCTTATTGACTTTAAAATGTTCTCTCTGATACTGAGAACATTATAAACTTTTATCTGCCATGTTATGACTATTCCCCACTTTAGCATTTATTTTAAAATTTTATTTATAATATATAGATGATCATTTTTTTGGTGCTAAGACCAAAAAAAAAAAAAAGATTCTGTAAAGAAATAATATGTAATTTTCACTAACATCAGTAACATTAAGCAAACTGCCAACATTCTAAAACATTAAAATGTCAGCATGCACATAAGCTGGCATAGTTAAAAAGTGGTAAAAATAAAAATGATTAAGTTTGAATGTGATTCAGTAAGTGTGGAGTGGGAGTCAGGGTTGGGCAATCTTAGCGCATGCCCTTGGTAATTCTGAAGTGGCTGGTCCATAGAACACATATTGAGGACCACTCTTTTCAAGATTATTAAGTTAAAATAAGATGACTATACTTCCCCAAAGATTCATTTTTGTCTTAGGTAATTACGTTTTCTATTCTAGTTTATATAATGGGTATTCCTAAAATCTAAGACAAACTTCAAGTTATTTCATAGTTATGCGTATAAAATCAAACTGAAGAAAGTCCCCATTCTCTTTCTCAAGGCATTGGTGCGGTGTCTCAGACAATGAAGAAATGATCAGTGCTCATCCCAATGCAGGATCACTTGTCAGAAGTGGCAAGGAATCCCCATACTATGGAAGGATAAAAGCTAAACCTTAAGGCAACCTGAGAGAGAAATGATGACACTCTTTACTGGGATCATGTGGTAGGCAGATAATGACCCTCCCTCTCCCCAAACTTGTAAGTATTTTACCTTATTTGTCAGA